GAAAACACTGGGGGTCAATGACACACTCAGCATCCATAACATTCTACTCGCGACAAAAGTTGTTTTTGACAAATGGGTAGATGTGCTAAGGAGGTACCATGACGGGGAGTTGCTAAACTCAATGGGTGTGGAGGACGGCCGGAAGCCCAATGATTTGAAGCTCAACGCCTTGCATTTCTCGCGGTCTCTAGACGACGACGACCTTCTGACAGTGGCTAATGCTCTTCTACTTGGTGAGGTAGTCTTCAACAAGACCAAAATGACTCCCGGCCATATTGTGACATACGAGGACTTGTGCACGACTCTGAGAGCTCGTGCGCTATTGAAGGATTGGATCTTCGAGCAAGTGGCCGTGGCGAGGGTGAGCATCGACACCACGCAAGAGATGATGGAAGAGCTGGACTTGTCAAATGAAGACATCGACGAGTACGTGAAGGGGGCCCCCAAGTTCATCGATCTGCTGCAGGATGCCACGAAAAGTAAAGCTGAGAAGTTGGATCAGTATCCAAATTTCATTAAGAGGGATGTCGACCGCCGGCTTCAGAAACAGCTCGACCCCGCAGCAGAGGCCTATCGAGAACCTTACCGGGTATACGTGAATTCGGATGAGGATCAAAGGTGGAGGAGCATCGTTTCCCGCGGAGATGAGCAGGTCAAGAACATCTTTTGTGTGATGGACTTCACAAACGAGGAGATCACTCATGCAGACGAAGTCAGCTCCATCATTGACTTAATGGTGGGACTTGCGGAAGTGGAATCTTCAGTCCACTATATGATCTACGACTCCGAATCCTATCACAAGTTCTGGAAGGCCTTGAACGAGGTGAAGGCTCGGTTGAAAGGCAAGGAGATGCGGGAGATCCATGGGATAATGGCTAAGAAGAAGATACCGACGAATGTCCGCATCTTCACAGTCGCCCTTGTTATTGGTCCTGCAGCAGAGTGGGACTGGAGTGACTTCCCAGCTTCGTTCAACAAAGCCGATCGAATTGATCTGAGGGAGGTCAATTTACCCGTGCCTGAGGAACTGAAGACGGCTATGGAGCTTTCGAATCCAAAGAAAGCTCCAGGTGCAGCATGGGAAATGCTCAGCTAGGTCTTCAACGCAATAGCGGGTGACTCCAAGGGCAAATGCGTTGTCGAGTACAACTGCGGCGGACTATTCTTTCGAGCCGCACTACTCAAGGGTGTCCCGTGTGTTGCGGTGACAAACTCCATTGAAGAGGTGACTTCAATGGAGCATATAATTATAGTTGCCAAAGAAAAACAGTATCTTCTCTACGAACCTGGTGAGTACGCACTTTAAGTTTAAATGTTATCTCACAAGCTCTGTATGCAGGAGCGTGGCCACCCCCAGATGCTGAAACGGCGTTAACAGCTACTGATGTTAGGCCGAGGTCACAACCTGCACAAGGTAAGGTCACGTGAGGCCTCACGCCATTTTGATTATAGATCGTTGTGAATATTCAGACACGAGGACTGAAAAGCGCACTGGTGGCGCGTCGAAGAAGGACAAACAGACAAGCAATAGGAAAAAAGGAGGTACAAATTATATTTGCAATGGCGTGTGGTCTCATGCCATTCCTTGCAGGAGACACTTCTTCAAAGGCAAAACAGGCAAGCACCAGCCAAGCTCAAACTGACAGTGGTCATAAAAAGCGAAAGCACGTTGGACAGTCGTCGGGATCAGAGGCGTTTGATTCGAAAAGGAAGAAGGGCAACGAAAAGATGATAGGTAATGCCTCGCGGTTATGGCGTGTGTGCTCATGCCATTCATTGCAGATCAAGGGCTGAGTGAAAGGAGCCAGTCACCACCTTCTGACTCAGATTCCTATGGCGGACTCCCCTTCCCCAATCTCAATGGAGAGGTACAATGGATGAGGGATGCTTTTCAAGTCAGGGCCACGTTTTTCTCATCTCGTCGTCTTCGAAGGGTGCAAGAACGTGCAGAAACCATGTTAAGACAGTCGGGTGAGGATACGGTCCTAGGTCACGCACTAAAACAGGCTATGGATGTCTTGTATTTTGAGATGGAGACTCGGCCAGATGATTTTTCCAAGATGGTCCTGGAAAAACAAGCAATCCAGCCTGAGCAGCCTATGGAAGAAATGCAAGAGGGGGATGAGGAGCCAGAGAAAGATAATGAGCAGGAAGAGCAGAAGGACGAAGAGGAGGACGAAGAAGAGGAGGACGAAGAAGAGGCGGACGAAGAGGACTTGGATGGTCCTCACAATGGTGACGATCACAATAACGACGACGATGATGATGACGACGATGGCCAGCCTGAGGTGGCCAAAGAGCAGCGGAGGAAGGTCATACAAGACAAACCATCAGGTAAATAATAGTACATCCATTCCTAACCTTTTACCATTTCTAACATTGTCCATGTAGGTTGCAAAGCAAATGGTAAGTAGAGATTATTCAGTTGAATTAAGATACAAACTCTAGCCTTTAGTGTCGAGGAAGGATAGTGCCAAGCAAGGGTCGAAACGTATGTCCAATCCTTCAGAATCAGCAGTGCGCCCAAGTGATATCGGTCCTAGTTCCTCAATAGCAGTTGATGGTAAATACAGTATAGTCGATTCAATGTGCTAATGAGTTTGTTTTTAGTAGCACGGGAGGATACCATCTCAATCGAAGGGAGATATTTGGACATGCATATGGATCCGCCAGTGGACTCTACTTGCCTGCAAGAGTCATCAGAGCTGGTGGAGGCTACTATCCATATCAACGCCAAGCAAGCTGACCACGCTCCACTTGATGCTGCCCATACCACTGAGTCAATCTTGTCCACGTATCCAACTGACGGTGACCAGGCGCCATTGGACCCGCATGAGGCCGCCCCAGCCGCCGAGCCGGTCGTATCCTCATTTCCAACGTGTGCCCAATCGTCTGACTACGCGCCGTTGGAACCTCCCTACACCGCCCCTGCTGCCTGTTCGGTCATGTCCACTTTGCCAACGGAGGCACCAGCTGAAATGGCGTGTGATCACACGCCATCGGAACCACCCCATGCCACTGTTGAGCCAGTTGTACCAGAGTCTACAGCTGAAATGGCATGTGCCCACACGCCATCGGATGCGATTGACCCCACATTGCAGAGGAGAGTATTTCCGCCCTTCACGTTTCCTCGACCAAAACCCTCTGAACGACCATCGGGAGCACCATTCGCTAATATTGTAGATGGTAAAATTGACTTGTACCATTTTTTATGCTAACGCATTTCATTTCAGAGTCACGGCGAAAGTACTGTATCATTTTTGATCTGAACGGTGTCCTTTTCTCCCATGAGCGTGGCTCGTCCTCGAATGTCACTGCACCCTCCAAAGCCTGCGGTCGCAAGTTGGTCAAAAGAGACAGATTCACATTAATCACACGGGAGAAACTGCGGGATCTAATAATGACCATGCGACACTTAAAACAGAGGGCCGGGTTCAATTTGCAATTGGGAGTTTGGACATCCATGATGCGCCACAATGCATTAACGTTGCTACAGATGATGCACGATCAGACGCGAGTAATATTACCATTTGACTTTCTCCTAACGCAGGAGGATTGCTTGACTATGGTCCATGTGAGGGGTAGCAAGCCCATCTTCGTCAAGGCAGAGGCTGTAGTGATGAACCGGACTGCTAGGTCAAGTGAAATCCTCATCATCGATGACTCGCCGATTAAAACTGCAGCGAACATGCACACATATGCAGTGCACCCCATCTCTTGCAGTATGGAAACTAGGGAGAAGAAACCGTATGTTCTGGGGGACCTTGCAAAACGGCTTGAAGCGATGGTGATAGAGAACCGGCCAGTCCAGGAGGTGGCTGCAGAAATCAACCAAATGGCAGATGGAACGGTATATCAGAAGCCATTTGATCGGACAGACACCAGTCATCATTTATGGCATGTATATTGTCTAGCCAAGCACTATCCGCATCTCCATAATCTGCTCAACCGGATGGGTTCTTCGACCACTGAACATGAGCGTGGACGTATTAGAGAAGAGATGGCATTACTATTGGGTTTAAATCCTGATAGTGTGGAGAGTGATGAAATTCCAAGATTATTGTATAGGCGTTGGAGGCAAAAAATAACAGTCTGAGATGGCATGTATTTATTTAAAAATGTAACTTATTATGGCATGGGGTTCCATGCCATTGTATTAATATTAAAAGACAATTCTTTGAGAGGATTTGCATTATACTAGAAGTGTTACAGCATGTTATTGGAAGTCTACGAAGTTGTTTTATTAATAAGGGGAAAGTAAAGATTGAATGGGGACTTGGGCTCCACCTAGACTCGGAGCAACTGAGCCAATATTAAAAGGATGGAAAGAAATTGGACGACAATGACAAGGAGAAGAGAGAGGTGAAGCAGTGAGAAGTGATTGAGTAGACATTTCCTTGTTTAAAATAAAATGGCATGTGCCTCAATGCAGTTGAATTTTGTTATATTTATATACTATATAAAGGTTTGGAAACCTTATTTTACAAGTGGGATAATGACAATTCCCACTTTAACGAAATAGAGCTTTAATGGAGGTGGATGTTATTGCCGCCCAAGTTCAAAGACAAGGACGAAAACATAGTTATAACTGTGATGTCTATTGTTGGGTATGTAATAATAGTGGTTACATTTATCAGTATTGTTGATATTGTTCAAAGTGGTGACCTTCATTTCCTAGGTGGAGACTTTAGTATCAACAATATCTTGTTAATGTTGTTATAGTAGAAGGTCTAAACATTAAGATACTTATGAGAAATGACAAATCGCATGAGTAAAGTCAAAACATCCACAGCACCAAGAATTTCTTCAATCAAATGTCAAAGCAGAGCTTCACATCCTGGAATCTGATGATCACCGCCTACTTGCACGACAGCCAAGTGAAATCTGCCAAGAGCCTCTTCAATCAAACCCCAGCCAAGAACCCCCTCCTCTACAACGCGATGCTCACAACCTACGCCCATAACAGGTGCCATGCCCTCGCGATCGAGCTCTTCGCCTTGATGCTGTGTAGAGATCTCATCTCGTACAATGCAATGCTCTCTGCGCTCGTGAACTCTAGCCCTATCGATCAAACCAAAGATTTCTTCGATCTAATTCCCGAGAAGATCGTTGCATGGAATACGATGCTCACAACATATGCCGAGAATGGGCATCTGGAAATGGCGATTTCCATGTTCGATTCGATGAGCCATCATGATATCGTGTCCTACACTGCCATGGTCACTGCGTATGGATCGAGCGGCCAGATAGAACACGCAAGAATACTGTTTGCCTCGTCACCCCAGAAAGACGTGGTTTTATCAACTGCCATGCTCGCAGCATATGCCCATTTAGGGTTCTTGGCAGAGGCTAGCACAATTTTCTAATCTATGCGAGAATGCAGCATAATCACGTGGAATTCTATGCTAGATGCTCACGCATTGAGCAGAAAAATCGAAAAAAACGCAGTGTATTTTCCATTTGATGCCGGTAAGAGATACAGTGTCTTGGATTTTGATGCTCAGCGCATATGCCCGGCTTGGGCATCTGGAGAAAGCGATTTCGTTCTTCGCGACAATGCCAATGCCACACGCAGTCCCGGATCGCGTCGTGCCCTGGAACACGATGCTCGCAGCGCACGGAACCAGCGGCCAGGACGCCGAGAATCTCCTGTGGGCCGCGAATTTGCAAGGTGTGGCCCCGGATGCCGGCTGGAGCTACTTCGTGTCGATGCGCAGCGATTACTCGATCCAGCCGGAGAAGCTCCACTTTGGGTGCATGGTGGCCATCCTGGCTCGAGCCGGGAACTTCGATTTCGCCCGGGATCTCCTCGACAACATGCCATTCGTTCCAGGGATCGAGCAATTGAGCTGCCTGACACTGTTCTAGAGCCAAACAAATTAGATTTCGTCCAGGAACTTCCAGAGATCAAGCAATTGGGCTAAGACGCAGTTGCCCATCTCGAGATCTAGACTAGACAATTGGAGGAAACAAAGATCTTCCTCCACGTGCCATATATCATGTGTCGAAGGGCACCAAATTATAAAACTATATACGTGATCCTATATAATATCTATGGTCCTTTCAAAGCTTCGCTCTTCGGAGCACTGGCCGCCTCGACTTTCTCCTGGACAGCATCCACAGCCTTGTCTTGGACGCTGCTTTTCCCCTCCGCGGCCTTGAGCTCTCCCGCCGCGGCCTCTGTCTTCTCTGGAGCAACTTCGGTCAAGCACTTCCCAAACGGCTTGCCTTTGCGAATGTCCACGACAACGTTGGGGTTGGCAGTGTCCATACCCCCACCACCACCTTCCTTCTTAGCTCCTGCTCCTCCCATTTGCTGCTTCGCGGCGTCTGGAAGGACGTTGGCGCTTCCCATAAGCTCCGAGTCGCTTGGAACTTCGCCGCTGGTCTTCTTTGCCTCCTCCGTGCGGCTCTTCTTTGGCTCCTCCGTGCCTGATCCATGGCCTGGTTGTTCCGTCTTTGGCTTCTCGCTCTCCTTGTCTCCGCTGAGAAAGGATCCTCCCTGCTTATCCATGGAGGAAAAAAAAACGAAATGTGAGTAGACAAAGAGAAGAACCGAGAAAGTCTAAACTGTGGATGGCACTTCTCCAGTGGATATTTTTATAGAGTCCGGGAAAACGAGTAAAGGGGCCCAAACGGGATCACTATCCTCCTGTGAAGAAAGATGGACGAGGTAAATGTGAGACAGAGAAAAAAAGATATATACAAAACTGCCAAGTGCCACCCAGACTCCGATTCACCAAAGATTTTTATCAAGCCGCTGTGGTTTGATTCGTCACAGTGAGAGAACTATAGTACAAAGCTTTCGAGCCTTATTTCGTGCTGCTACCTTGTCTGCCAAAAAAAAGAAGAGTTTAGCATAAAAGAAATGGAAAAACTTGTCATACCAGGTAATGAATTGTCTCGCTCCAGTTAAGAACTCTGTATCTGCAAAGAGGGAGAAGTCAACCAGGGAATCGTGAATCAAAAACATGTCCTTCAGCCACGCCAATTCCTCATACGACTGGTCCGTATTCTAGTTACACGAGCACTGCTCCAACCGGTTCCAAGACCGGGAGCAACGACGTGCAACGTCAACGGGCAGCGCAGTGAGATTACTAAATTATGCATCATAGGACCGAACCACTAGAAGGAAAAAACAGTAAAGCGAAGTTACATTTTGCGCTTAGAAGTTTAAGATGATCTTCTCTTGTGGAACCAAAGTAGATCAGTCACATCCTGCAATAAAAACATCACAGTGAAGGTAGAGCAAAGGGTCTCTACCTTGAGCATGCCCTTGTGGCCAAAGAAAAGTAACAACTTGAGAGGAATCTGGAATACTTATGTTCTTCGAAAAGGCTGCCTGTGGCACAATAAAGCGAAGTTAAATGAGAGATGGTGTAAAGGAGAAAACAATGAATCATGTCTACAACAGTGAGAATAAAAATACCTGGACATATCCTGATTCGCCCATCCAGCTCCCATCAGTCTGCCAGAGTATGGGAATTATGCTCACGCCATGTCCTATCGTAGAGATAAGTGAGAATCGACAACCGAAAAAGAAACAAAAGAAGAGTACCCGATATGCCATTCTGTAAAGACCCTCACATCGCTCCTCCTGTTCGCGTCAATTCCGGCCTCTATAAGTGATCGAATCGAACTGTCCTGAAAAAAGAAAGAACCATACGTAAACCATCCCAAAAGATAGCGAACTACAAGTAAAAAAAACGAGTGGAAAGAAGGAAACATCATGTCTACGTAAACTATCCCAAGAGATGAAAGAACGAGAGTGGAAAGAAGAAAAAAAATGCCTACGTAAGAACAAAAAAAGAAACGAGTGGAAAGAAGAAAAAATCATGTCTACCATAGCAAGAACAAAGGAAAAAAAAAAAAAAAAAAAAAACGAATGGAGATGGAAGAAAAAAGAAGAAGAAATCACGTTACCTGATACCAGAGCCAGTCGCGAAGAACAGCACAGTCTGGAACTTCTCTGGAGGGTAGAGCTGGTCGATATCGAAACCTTTGCCAAAATTTGGGAATTTAGGGTTCCTGGCAAGGGATTCTTGGAGTTCCTAGGACGTGCAGGGCACTACCTCGGCTGTGCTGTGCGATCTGGCCAAGGGAGATAAGGTGGATTTAAGCCAAGTGATGGGCGGAGGCCTTTACACATGCCATTGTTGGGCATTTGCAACACTTACGGATTCTCAAGCTTGGAGATCTTCTTTGGGCATAGAATCGAACACTTGTCTAAAGTAAAGAAGCATATCTTGTGTGCAGATATGTAATATGTTTTTTTCCTGACAATATTCTTTCATGAAATTAGAACGTTCTTCTAGCTTCCAAATGCCCAGCTTGGGCATTTTCATTAGCCCATGTTGACTTTTGCGTTGACATGGTTGACTTTACATTGACTTACATTGAAAAACTGGCTCTGGCTCCTAAGAGATTCTTTCTTCTTGCGATGCTCCACAGCGATGGCGTTTCGACCACCACCACCACCAGCAGGAGCTGGAAAGTGGCAAAGAAATCGACGAAGGGAATCGCCACACTCTTGGCGGCGCTCAAGGAGGCAAGCAAGGCCAGGGATGCCAAGAGGGGGCGGGAGCTCCACTCCGACGCCATAGCCAGTGGAGTGGCGGGCGATCTCTTCGTGGGCAGCAGCCTGGTGGACATGTACTCCAACTGCGGCCTCATGGGCGAAGCGCGAGAGGTATTTGACGCCATGCCCAGCCATGACATTGTCTCGTGGAATGCGCTCATGCTCGGTTACGCAGAGAACGACCATGGATTGGCGGCGCTCGCCCTCTTCTCGCCGATGCGCGACGAGGGCTGCTCTCCAAACTCCAGAACTTTTGTTGCTGCGGCTAAGGCATGTTCTAGCATTCCCACGGCTGAGAAGGAAGAAGAAGTTCCAAGAGGTAGCGAAGTATGCTCGACTTCGAAGATGAGATCGCTGGAGATTGGAATGGCGATCCACTCGCAGGCGCTGGAGAGGAGGTGCGGATCCATTTTCATGGAGAGCTGCCTCGTCGATATGTATGCCAAGTGTGGCGGCATGGACGACGCTCGGCGCGTTTTCGAGAGCATGGAGAGGAGGAATATGGTGGCCGCTCATGCTGGGCTATGCCGAGAGTGGCGATGGCCAAGCTGCGCTCAAGCTCTTCCAGGTGATGGAACGCGAGGATTGCCCGCGGGACGCTCGGACTTTCGTTGCCGCGGTGAAGGCTTGCTCGAGCCTGGCTATGGCGGCGAAGGAAGGATCATCTAGCGCGAGAGCCTTGAGAGCTCTTGAGACCGGCATGGCTGTTCATCGCGAAGCTCGCAAGAGTGGATTCGAGTCGGATGCTTTCGTGACTTGCGGACTTGCGCATACCATACTTGTATGCGAAGCGTGGGAGTATGGAGGATGCGAGGAGGATCTTCGAGCGCTTCGCCAGCCACGACGTTGTCTCGTGGACGGCGTTGATACTTGGCTATGGTGACAATGGCGAGAACGAGGTGGCGGTGGAGCTCTTCTTGCGCATGGTTCACCAGGGATACCATGCAAACGCTCGGACTTTCGTGGCAGTGGTCAAGGCTTGCAGCAGCCTTGCCGAGGAGGAGCAAGGCGGAAGTGTGATAAAGTTTCGCGCTCTCGCCACTGGAATGGCGATCCATCGCCTCGCAGCTGCGAACGGTGGCTGTGATTCTAGGGACGTTTTCGTGGGGAACACTTTGATCGACATGTATGCGAAGTGTGGAACTATGGTGGATTCCCGGCGAGTTTTCGATGCGATGCTTACACGGGACGTGGTCTCGTACAACGCGATCATGCTGGGCTATGCCGAGAATGATGGCGAGGCTATGGCGCTCGAGCTACTCGCGGCCATGCACAGGGAAGAACCGCGCGTTGTGGCGAATAGCTTGAGCTACCTTGCTGCTGTGAAGGCTTGCAATCACTTGGCATCGCGAGAAGAAGCCAGGGACTTCGATGGAAGAGCTGTGAAGATCGAGAGCCTGGAGAAAGGCATGGCTGTTCATGCTCGAGCTACGGAAGCCGGGTGTGATCGAGATCTTTTAGTGGCGAGCAGCCTGATCGATATGTACTCGCGAGCTGGAAGCATGGAGGATTAGCACAGGGCCTTCGATCAAATGGAGAGCCACGATGTAGTGTCATGGACGGGGCTCGTCTCCGGCTACGCCGAGAATGGCGATGGCGAGAGCTCCCTGGCGGTGTTCTTCGCGATGGTGGACGAGGGAGTGGAGCCCGACTCGTGGACGCTCGCGGCGGCGCTCAAGGCGTGCGGATCCATCGCCTCGAGCAAAGCTGGGCGACGTCTCCATGGCGAGATTTGCCGGCATGGACTGGAGGGCGATACCATCGTGGTCACCGGTTTGATCGACTTCTATGGCTACCATGGCCGACGCTCAGCGTGTCTTTGATGGTTCCATGGTTGCCGCGCGGGACGTGGTTGCATGGACGGCTCTAGTGTCCGGCTATGGCCGCCAAGGTGACGTGAAGTTCGTGTTTGTGACGTTCCAGGCGATGGTGAACACTGGCGTGAGGCCGGGTGGTGTGACCCTGCTGTGTGTGCTAGCCGCGTGTAGCCATGCCGGGCTTGTGGAGCGAGGGAAACGATTGTTTGCATCGATGAGAGAGAAGTATGGGATTGCTCCTGGGCGAGAGCACTACCACTGCGTGATTGATATGCTGGGGCGAGCAAACCATCTGGAGGAGGCGCTGGAGATTGTGAGATCGATGCCTTTCCAAGCGGGTGTCGTGACCTGGATGACGATCTTGAGCGCTTGTAGGAAGTGGAAGAACACGAGAGTTGGAAGTGAAGCATTTGATGCGTTGGTTGGAATGGATGTGAGGGTGAATCGTCAGCGTACTTGTTGATGGCTCATGTTTATGAAAGCTAAGATCTTATCTATTGGCGGGAGCTCTTTGAATTTACGCCGTTGGATTTAGGGTTCTTTCTAAATCTTTTGCAATGCTGATATTCTCTCCAACTCTATCTATGCTCCATCGTTTAAGATCTCCTCTTGACTTGACAGGTCTCCCAGTCGGATTCAAGGAAATGTGTAGACTGAAGACTGGAAACGATACACGAAGCTTAAGATCGGTCTCTGGAAAGAAGCCTGGTATTGTTTAGATTATTCTTCCTAGGATGTCAAGTAAAGATGCTCGATTGAGAGAGATCTTTGCCGGAGTGTTTGCAGACTCCACTTTTTAAAGGTATTATGTACTTTTCTCGTCTTGTCACTACTACTCACTTTCTTGCGCAGGCTTTCTGCCAAATACAAAAGAGTCCCTTTTGCCACCGCTCCGAGTCATGAGAATTTCCCCATGCTATGCTTTAAGTTCATATTGCATTAGTCTAGGCCTTGGATGATCTGGATCGCGTGTGCTTCGTGCCACTTGCAGCCGAACTCTTGCAGCCGATTGTTGATTTCCAAAGTCCAATCCAGATCTTGTGCTCGTTGTTTATTAATCAGGGCTTTTTATTTACCAGCAAAAAACCAAAAAACTAGCTGGGCATAGTTTCATTGAGCACGAAAATAAGTTTCTTATGTCCTTGGTTGAAATGCTTCTTAAAACTTAAGCTGCATTTACATTTCTGACCATTTTGAGCTGGAAGGCATGCATGCTTCTATATGTCAGGAAAAGCGATAAAAGGATGCTCAAGCATTTGCAGGTATTTTGTGATTAATGTCTGTTTTCATCTCCTAGTTTCACCCTTCCACAGGTGCCAATGTGGAGCGAGCTCGAACAGAAAAAAGCTTCCAAGCAGACATAAATCGATTTGCTGCATTGACTGATCACCTTTCTTCCTTAGGAACAATGACACTTGAAACAGAAAAACTCATTTTCGAGCAGAAATAATCAGTGATGTGAATAGTAGTTCATCCTGGAGTGTTTGTAACATCTCTGAGAGAATTTTGTTTGGCAATCTAGCAGTTCTCCAAGAGAAGGTTTATAGCCAAGCTTCCCCGCATTGTAGCTGAATCTCAGCCTAGATCTTGGCGGGAGGGCCGCCATGTTTTCCCACACGGTTTTCGAATCAATTTCATGTGATAGTTATTGTCACATGACAATAACTGTGACCTAGGAACAGAAAGAGAGGCAAAACATTGTGTGTCCGTTTCAGGGCATTGCAACAGACTCCAATTCCTTGGTCTCATGTTAGGAGATTCTAGTCGGTGACACCATGACCATGCTTTCTCACTCGGTTTCTCCTTCTCTCACTCGTTTCCCTTTCTCTTTGCTGCACATAAGGGTGACAAATAAAGGTCTTTTTTACACCCTTATTTCTGGTTGCTACTGTTGCAAATTCTGATGGTGGCTGTTTCTAATTATTAAACAGTGCTTCTTACACAAATGACATTTCTTTTTCATTCTCCCATGGCTTAAGCTAATGATCCTTCATTCTAATTGTGATGGAACTACTGATTAATTGATGAGGGTGCAGTTGAGCTCGATATCTCCATATTTTGACCTTGTTGTTAGCTACATCACAAGAGGTTTTGAGTAAACTATAGAATAAACTTATATAAAAAAAATTTGGATGGAACAATATCATAAATTATATTACAATTTTTGGTTTGAGATGGTAATGGATATACCTAGAAAATGCTTGGATATTCTAGGATATTCTATCATCTAACGGTTGTTATTTATTTAGATTAATTTTGTATTTA